ATCATCATTATTATTATTATTATTATCATGATTATTATTGTTATTATTATCATTATTTTTATTATGATCATCATCTTTATTATTATTATCATCAACATTTTTATTATTATCATCATTATTTTTATTATTATCATCGTCGTTGTTTTCCTCAGGCGGAGGAGAGTATTGACCAGCTGGTTCACGTCTGCCAATCGGACGGTTCCTCAACGGTTCGCAGGAAGGCCAAGGAAGCTCTGTACTCGCTGGGTGAGTAGTGCACAGAAGTTGACACGTTGTGGGTGGTTGGTGGGTGCTCTGGTGTGGTTTGCTCCTTCTTCCTTGTCACAATCATCTTTCATCCCTCCCCCCACTCTGCAATGTAATTCTGTATAACCCTTCATGTCTCCCCCCCCCCCCTCTACAGTCTGTAATGTATCCATACTTGAATAACTCTCCACATCTTCCCTTTCCCTCTTTCTCCAGGCGACGTTGGTCGTAAGGCTGTGGAAGAGGCACAGCTGGGCTCTCAAGGTTTCCAGGGTCTGCAGATGCGCAAGTTGTAGTGTGTGGGACGCACACACGTGTGCGCTCACCTTCCATCCTCTAAGCGTGTGTGCTTATCAGGTTTGAGCGTCGTCGTGCCGGCTCTATGCCGCCTGTCTTACGGACTCGTCACCGTCACTTTGTGGTGCTGCAAGCCGCCACACTCTCTCCCCAACACCCCCACCCCCCATCACGAATGATGATGATGATTACCTGATTGTCTTTGGCCGCCCTGGGCGTCGTAAGACAGGCAGTTGGTCAGAAGATGTCCTGTCTGGTCACCGCTGTCTGGTGCTCACCACCACCACCACCACCACCACCCCTGCTCTCATTCCTCACTTCTCAAGCGTGGCACTTCAATGGCACTAATTGTGTCGCAAATGCTGTAAAACTCTTACTAAAACCTTTTTTTAACTTCTTGATCAGCGTGCACGCACGCATGCATGCACATGATGATCCAAGCTCAAGTCTTCATAAGACGTACATATGTGACCTTTGACCTATAATTGAATCGGGAGAAACGTGAACTGACCAATTCATCCTCAAATCGAAATGTCATATGGCCTGGAATCAACATGAACTGACCTAATCATCCTCGAATCAAAGTATTCTCTGGCCTTAGTTGTGGACTGCAGTGTGGCTACTGGTAATACCCAGACTTAGAACTGTAGCATTTATCTCCAATTTGACGAACGTCTTGATGCAAGCTCACTCACTCACTCTCTCGCTCGCTGTTCGAGTGGACTGGTGGGAAGCTTTAAGTATGCAGTTTTGAAACTTTAGAACTGGTCCTCCCATGTTCTACCCTGTCCAGACTGCGTCTGTGTCTTGAAAGTATCTGGAAATTGTGCTTAGACTCCCTAGAAAATTATCTAGACTTCTGGAAAAATATGTCTAGACTGTGTCTATAAAGAAAATATGTCTAGACAGTGTCTAGAAAGAAAGTATGTCTATACTATCTAAAAAGAAAGTATGTCTAGACTGTGTCTGGGAAGAAAGTATGTCAAGACTGCTAAAAAGAAAATATGTCTCTACTGTGTTAAAATGAAAGTATCTCTAGACTGTGTCTAGAAAGAAAATACGAGACTGTGTCTGGAAAATATGTCTAGACTATGTCTGGGGAAAAACATATGTCTAGACTGTGTCAAGAAAGAAAATATGGTCTAAATTGTGTCTGGTATGTATGTCTAGACCGTGTCTTGTACATATATGTCTGGTTGTTTCAAGACACTCTGTGAGGATCAGACACTGCTGCTGGGACTGTGAGTGTGTGAGCATGCAGGAGACTGATTAGGCAGACTTTGTCGTTTGATTTCATTTTTAAAAATTGTTTGCCTCTTGTTCTTGCCGGAAACCTTTACTTATACAGATGGGATGATGCTGTAATACTGTCTTCTATAAGTAGACTCTTGACTATACCTCTTTACAATGCCATGCCTTTGTCTTAATAGGTATACTACCATTTCTACTGACTATACCCCTTTACAATGCCATGCCTTTGTCTTAATAGGTATACTACCATTTCTACTGACTATACCCCTTTACAATGCCATGCCTTTGTCTTAATAGGGATACTACCATTTGTCCATACGATCTTTCTTCTTTTTTTCTTCTGAAAATGATAAACTGTTTGGTGTTGCTGCAAGATATTCTTTCCTCCTGAGCATGCTTATGAATATGGAAAGGTTGTGAGGAGAGGTTTCTGACCTCAGAGCTTGTTGGACGGGGGTTCGACTCCCAGGACTGGTGGTGTTGGTGGAAGAAGCCTTTTTGTTTGTGAGCACTGTGAAGTTCTACACGACAGCGCCGGTGGGCACACAGTTGTGATGATGATGTGTCGTTTCTACAGCTCGCCCCGCGTCGTTTGGACAACTATCAACAATTGCCTCATTTCTTGACCGGGACTTTTTTTTTCTAGTGGTGTGAATTTGTCAGTGTGTTGAAATGACTTGAACATCTCATATCTTGACTTAACCTTTTCTAGGGGTGTACATTTGCCAGTGTGGAGAAATGACTCGAACAAGGTCTGGGGCTGTGACTTACTTGTTGTCACTTTCACTTTGACATACGGTAATAATCTGGACGAAAGAAAGATGCACGCCTTCGCCGCCTCCTCGTAAATGAATTTGGCGCGCTCCTATAACCTTATGCAGTTGAGAGCACCGTAAAACTTTTTATTATCAAACTGGAACTTAACTGAATGAACTTAATAACGTCGATGAGGGCGTAAGACACCTTCATTTATTTACACATGTCATTTTCTACATCCGAGGACTGGTTCATCACGGACAAGCGCCAGCGCGTGTCATCGTCGAAGCGTCGTCTCTGGATCTAGAGGGAAAAGTTGCGTCTGGTTATTCAATTCCTGACGACAAAAGTGTGCGCTGCTGGCCCCTGAAGTACGCTCGATGCAATAGACTTTGTTGTTGTGTGATTTGTGAACTTACATCATAATTGTGCACGGACTGTTGTTGGCCTATTTCGTGACCTCAATGCTTTCTTGTCATATCTCCATTTTTAAAAAAAATTTAACAGTGAAAATGTGACTTATTCTTGGGGTTCACTCTTGTTTATGAACTGTTTTCACTGTTATTAAAAATGAAGATACGACATGAAGAAAGCACTGAGGTGGTTGCGATTTTTTAAGCTAATTTTTTTTTTCTCTTCTTTTTAAAAAAACTTGCTGGTCACTTATTGCTAAAAATGATGATGTCACTCCTTCTCTACTACATGATGTACTAACTACTATGCAGTTGTTGGTTGGTTGTTGTTTTTTGGTGTGAGCAGGACTGTGAGGTCTGCCTTGTTGTTGAGTTGTTGAGTTTGGCTTTACTTGTGTCCGAGAGATAGATGCAACTTACACTACGCTATGTGTGGTCCCGACATACAATGTTTGAGGAGTCCTCTTTGTTGATAATTATGATGATAATGGATGGTTATGATGATGATGTTGATGATGATAATAATGACTCTTACATTATGTTCAGTATGTTGTTATTATGAGTTCAGTGTGTGGACTTGATTTTTTCTTTTTTTCGCAGCGTACTACGTACGTTTTATGGGGTTCATCGCTTTGGTTTGATTTTTGTTGTTGTCTGAGTTTTTTGGGTTTTAAAAAATTTTCTTTCTTTTTTTTTTAATTGTTTGTTTTTCTCGTACACTTGCACAAGGGCAATCACTCTGGATTTTGTTTGTTTGTTTGTTTTGGGTGGCGCCGACGAGTATTATTATTTTACTGCAGAGTCTATTTATCCATGAAAGTGTACCGGACAAAGCTATTTTTTACACATTTTTATAGCTCACCCTCTGAGAATTTAATTTGCACCATTTTAATTAACTTAGAATATTTAATATAATTATAATTATAAGTCTGTCTACGCATTTACTTGTGTTACTTTAAGGACTTTCTAGTCTAGAATCAATGGAATGATTTTTTTTATCATGTCAGTAAATTTTACGTACGTTTTTCAGTTTTAGTTGTAATGTTTAAATTATCCCCTGTAGCCATATGTGAGGCGTGCTGACACAATGAGTTACTTCTCGGATTCGAGACCTATGGAAATAAATGCATCACGCTTATAGGTGAAGCTTTTGACAATTTATAAGTATGAAATACTAAAAGGTATGTCGTACTTAAAGAATATGGCATCGATAGAAGATCTACAAATTTGACCGTAGTTTTGATTTTGGGCCAACATCTCCACTTGTGGATTTCGAGAAGTAACTCATTTTGTCAGCACGCGTCACATATCTGTTTTGTATTTAACCTCTCTCTGGTGATCTGAACCATATGTAGGGGCTCAGGTCTGGTCTGTGACCTCTGAATTCTCTTGACCTCTTGAGTTCTCGTTTCTCGTGACCTCTGACCTGTACGGTGACGACAGAGCAGTTCCCAGCTTGTCGTTGACTTTGACCAAAGCTCACCATTATCTGTGTGTGTATGTATGTGAGTGTTTGTGTGTGTGTGTGTGTGTTCATGTTGGTGTAAGTGTGTGAGTAGGCGCATGTGCATACGTGTGTGTGTGTGTGCTTATCACGTGCTCAGTATAAGACTCAGTCATTCGTCATAATGGCGTATGGCAGTCTCATAATAAGCAGTCGATATATATAGGTGTGTGTGTGTGTGTGTACATGTCAGTGAATGTGTGTGTGTGTGTGTGTGTGTGTGTGTGTGTATACTTGTGGGTATATATGTGCCCATAAATGTGTAAGTGTGTATGTGCATGGATGATTGTGTACCTTTGTGTCTGTATCTATTCCTCGATATACATGATACTAATAGATATACTTGAGTCCAAAACAGTCACTTATCCTAGTCTTGCATTACTATATAATACATTCACTCCTTCTCGTCTTCGACATACATTCTACATCAGATGCACTTGATTTCTAGTCACATTCACTATTCACTTCTCATCTATTCTTCGATGTACATTCTACTATCGGATGCGTTTTGAGTCTAAAACAGTCACTGGTCCTAGTCTTGCATTACGATATGTAAGGCATCGTAGTGAAATCGGGTGCTTGTCGAAATAATGAAATGGGAGAAAAGGGCATTTTTCCATGAGTTTGGCAATTTTTATCAAAACTGGGGTTTTTTTTTTGGCTAAACATCTTTTATGTTCGTATGAAAACACATTTCCATGTGAATTTTACTGAAAACCCTTGTTTAAAGGCTCAAAATCTGTAATTTTCAGTTTTCAAGGACTCTTAAGTTATTGAAGTCACCAAACTTCGACAGCCATTTTCTCATTAATTTAACCACTGAAAACCAGGCTACCTCACCTTCTTCAATCGCAAATATCTCGACGTCTATTCAAGCTAGATGGATATTTTTTTCCATTGAAAGCAAGGCAAATGAATAAGCTTTCAGATGATATCAAGAAGTCCACATGCCCAAACATTGACAAGTGCCTGATTCCACCACGTCATGCCACATATAAAACATTCACTTCATCTAGTCCTCTGTATACATTCTACAATCAGATGCCAGAATTTGCCTCCCCTACCCCCTACCCTTTCTCCCCATGCCATATATTATATTGTAAGTGAAGATTTACACCGTTTATTTAGCACAGTTTTTGCCGTGCGGTCTTGATTTGTGTGCCAGTTGGATATACAAACCTCGGTGATGACCCTGTCTTTACCTGATATATGTGTATATGATTAATAATATATTATTATATATAAATATAAACGTCTGTCATATGTACCCCCTAGTCATCTGGTCAGTTCAAATAATTTTTATCACTCTGATTATGTTAGTCAAGTACATTTTCTGTTTAAAGCTCTACGACGGTGCAGTCACCTTTTTTTATATTTAACCTATGACCCCACACACCCCCCCCCCCACACCCCTCAAACTGTGCTGAGGTACAGTAACCCTTGTTTATATTTAATCTATGGACCCCCCACCCCCGTCAAGCTCTGGGGAGGTGCAGTAACCTTTTTTTTTTTATAGATTTAACCCACTAAAATTACCAAGTCACCAACCCACTCCCCACTACCCACCAGAATTACCAAATCACCCACACCCCACCACCCATTAGAATCACCCACTCCCCACCACCCATTAGAATCACCCACTCCCCACCACCCA